GTGTTGGGTAGTGGGTAAAATTTGAATTTTAGTTTGTTTCTTTGTCAATTTGTTGTTTACAGAATATTGAGTTGATTGTTGATTGTGGGGTTGTGATTTCTTGATTGAAAAAGAGTTGGTTATCATGCCTTCTATTAGAAATAGTAAGTCCACTAACAGAAACAGAAAGTATCTCTCTGGGTCTCAAAAAAGAAGAAATAAGGAAAAGGAAGAAGCATTAATAAAGTCTCAGGTTGGATCTCTCAGTAAGTTTTTCAAGAAACAAGATGATATTTCAGTGAATGAGGAACAAGGGAATCATGACAGTAATGGGGAGAAAGATGGTTTCATGACTGAGATTGATAATGAAAAGCAAGATGAACGATATGAGCCTCTATCTAACGATGGTAGTAAAGAGCAAGAAGATGAACCTCTGATTGAGACTGACATTGAAGAACATGATCAAACTAATGAGAATGGTAAGGGTAATGAAATTGTCTTTCCTTTGGATATTGATGATCCAGGGAATTGGGATAAGATTGATCAAAATCTTAGGGACATGTTAGTGGAAAGAGGTCCTAAAAGAGTTGATGATGTTGCATTTCCGAAAGATAATTCAGGTAGACATTTTTCTTCTGTACATTACATTAGAAATTGCCTAATGGGGAGACGCAAGATAGGAAGTGGCTAGTGTACTCATGTTCTTTGGATATAGTATTTTGTTTTTGTTGCAAGTTATTCAAGCAAATTGGAATCAAACTTACCTGGATAATGAGGGTTTGAAAGATTGGAAGAATATTGGTCACATGCTTACAACTCATGAAACTAGCAAGGAACACATTCACTACATGAATGAATGGATTGAATTGGAAAGAAGATTGCAAAAATGTAAAACAATTGATGAAAGTGTGCAATAACAAATCAGCAAAGAGAAAGAGCATTGGAGACAAGTGTTATAGAGGATAATTGCTGTTGTGAAAAGACTTGCAAAAGTTACTTTGGCATTTCATGGAGACAATGAGAAGTTGTATGAAGAGAATAATGGAAATTTTTTAAATGTGATTGAAATGATTGTTGAATTTGATCCTACAATACAAGAGCACATTCGGCGTATTGATACACATGAGACTCATTACCATTATCTTGGTCACAAGATTCAAAATGAATTGATACAACTGTTAGCAAGTGAGGTCAAAAGTGAAATCATAGCAAGAATCCGAGAAGCAAAGTATTTTTCAATGATACTTGAATGCACTCCGGATGCCAGTCACGAAGATCAAATGTCTCTTATAATAAGGTGTGTGGATGTTACAAAAACTCCAATAAAGGTTGAAGAATTCTTTTTAGAATTTCTGAATGTACATGACTCAACAGGGTGTGCACTGTTTGATGTGCTTTTAGGTGCATTGAGCACTCTTAAACTTGGTGTTGATGACATAAGGGGACAAGGTTATGACAACGGTTCAAAAATATGAAAGGCAAAAATAAAGGCGTGCAAAGCAGAGTACTTGAAATAAATCCTAGAGCATTCTACACTCCATGTGGTTGTCATAGCCTTAATCTTGCACTTTGTGATATGGTCAATTGTTGTCCTAAAGCTATGTCTTTTTTTGGAGTGGTACAACGTATATATACATTGTTCTCATCCTTAACAAAGCGATGGAAAGTTTTTACATATCATGTGCAAGGAAGTCACACCCTCAAACCGTTGTCACAAACTCGTTGGGAAAGTCATATTGAAAGTGTTAAACCCATAAGAGAAAGCGCTCAACAAATAAGAGATGCTTTGATTCACTTGGCAAATACTAGTGAAGATCCTAAGTCAAAGAGTGATGCTGAATCCCTAGCAATCCATGAGCTGGAGAATTTTGAGTTCTTGTTAGGTATGGTTATTTGGCATGAATTGTTGTTTGCTATTAATACTGTTAGCAAAACTCTTCAAAAAGAAGACATGCATATTGATGTTGCTATTGATCAATTGAAAGGGCTTATATCCGTTCTTGATTAGTATAGAGAAACTGGATTTGAAGAGGCAATGAATGAAGCTAAGAAAATAGCAAGTGAGATGGAGATTGAGCCTGTTTTTCGTGAGAAACGCATCATTCGAAGAAAGAAACAGTTTGATGAGAGTGCTAGTGAAGTGGCAACACAATCAGCAATTGAAACTTTTAGAGTTGATTACTTCATAGTTGATCAAGCTCGTACTTCCACTTCATATCAGGTTTGAACAATTTCAGAAATATGAAGAAACTTTTGGGCTTTTGTTTAATTTGAAGAAGTTAAAAGATGTAGACAATGATAGCTTGAAGAGTTTTTGTATCAATCTTGAAGGATTTCTGAAACATGGTGAGCATTCTAATATTGATGGAAAAGATTTATTTATAGAGCTAAGAATCTTAAGAGAAACTTTGCCGAAGGAAATAAATCGAGCAATGGAAGTGCTAAAATATATAAGACAAATGGATGGTTGTTTCCCAAATGCATGGGTTGCTTATCGTATTTTGTTAAGCATACCAGTTATAGTTGCCTCTGCAGAAAGAAGTTTATCAAAATTAAAGTTGATCAAATCGTATCTTCGATCAACTATGTCACAAGAAAGATTTAATGGGTTAGCTTTTGTCAATTGAAAAAGAATTGGTTGAAAAGTTAGATTATGTAAACTTAATTAATACATTTGCGTCTAAAAACGCGAGACGTGTAATATTTAAGTAATGTTTGCATATATTTATTCTTTGGATATGAATTCTAATGATTTTTGATATAGAAATGAACTTTTTCATGTATTGAGCGAAATCTTTTCTTATACATATAAATATACAATGAGTTGGGTATCAAAGAACTTCAGGGCCCCACTCGAAGGCTCGCCTAGGGCCCCCAATTTCTCAGGGCCGGCCCTGCACCACGTTTCACTCTTTCTCTCCCTCTTATGTTTCCTCCTTTCTACTTTCGGTGCACACATGCACAGAAACACAGATCACTAGAAACACAGATCACTGCATAGTAGCAGTAGCACACCTAACCTTGCGAACTTCGGCGAGATCCTTCATTCTCCGACATTAGGTAAGCATTGGGTCAACTTCTCTTATCCTTTTCGTGATTTAGAAGTGACTTTTAGATCACTAGGTGTTTGATTTGATGATGTTTTGGCACAGAAACGGCACGGGGGAAATGTCCCCATATTTTTCGGCTAACTCGGGAAGTTGCAAGTGCTTTTCCGGCTTACTCCGGCCATGGTTGGGAGTTGTAATGGTATACTTCAATTCCTCGTCGTTTAAGTTTCAATTTGGTATATTAGGTTGCTAGTTTTGGTTAAGTTGTGGAATCGATAGGGGCCGATGAACTTTCGGCTTTCTCTTTTGTAGAAACTCGTGGCCGGATTAGGAAAAAAGAAAAAAAGAAGAGAAAACCCGGCCCATGACCCAAGGCCAAGCCTGTGGCCCATTGTTCTAGCCTGGCCCATTTCTGAAATGGGCTCAGAATATTCTGGGAATATTTCTTAGGTTGACTTTTTCAAAAATTTCTCGGAAACCCTCATAGGCTAATTTCAACGTCCTGAGTCCCTTTTTGACATACATTTAGTGAAATTCTAAAGTTTTAACATAGTTGACCACCAGAGCATCTCGGTTGACTTTTTAGGGTTGCCTGTTGACTTTCGTTGACTTTTTACGAAAATTGATCGGGACCCTCCTTAGTGTATTTCGACGTGCTGATTCCGAATCCACCGTTTGTTTCTCCAAATTCAAACATTTTAATTGAGTTTTACTAATGGGTCTCAATATTATTCTTAGGTGTGGTTACTATCGGAGACTTCGCTAGCCTAGTTCGAACGGCTGCGACCTCGCAAGTAACTGTGAGTGGGTATATATATATATATGGGACGGATCTGTGGCACCATGTTTTTTACACAATTTTTGACACAAGTATCTAATCATTAGATTAGTCCACTTTTAATGGTTGAGATGATAGGTTGACAATATGGCAATTAATTTTATTTCTATTTTCCGAAAAATACATATTAAATATTAATAAAACTTTACAATTATAATTTTCTTTCTCTTTCATCTATCTTAATAGATTTTCATCGAATTGGCATAGTCTAATAATCATCTTTGAATTCTTGCTGTCATCTAATCCTATTTTTGGGAAAGTATTTTAATCAACTCTCCCTCTCATTTATTTCTAATAATCGGTGAAGAACAAGAATAAAAACCCTAATTACATTTCTCCTTCTTCCTATGCAAACCTAATAAGCTTTTCTTTTTCATCATCACTCAATTCATTTCTAATCTATTCTGGTTCCATCAAACTCTCCCTCTATCCCTTAGTATGTGAGATATTATCCTTCTTTCTACCCCAATATCTCACAGAAAATTCTTATTTTGCATTTTGATTAAAAAAAATCAAAATTCTCTCTCATAAAGCTTGACGGAAATCGAATTTGTGAAGTCTCAATAACGTTAATAAAACACAACTAATTTCAAAACATTGTTGGCATAAACTTTAACAAAATACACCCAATTTTTCAAACTATGAAAACTACAACAAAATAGCACAATTAAGTGACTAATCTATCCTACAAAATTTAAACATCATCACTCTCCAAATATTCTTGGTCATCACTCTCCAAATATTCTTGGTCATCACTCTCCACATATTCGCCCAAGTCTTCTTGTTCCTCATTTCCTTGTAGATTACAAAATCACAAAAAAAAATAAAACATATACATAAATAGGTAACCAAATATTGGAAAATATCAATAAAAAAAGTTAATTCGACTTACATTCATTAGTTGATTCGATCTTTCTTCTTTTCTGATTCGATGGGCAATTTCTTGTGTCATGTTGTACTAACTTATTGCATGAACGACATTTTCTTTTCTTCTTTTGTTGAGCCAACTCAATACCACTTTTCATCATTTTTGAATTGCTAATATTGTACTTTTTACCCATTTGTGAGATATTGGGGTCCAAAAGTAGTAGTAGAGAGCCACCTTTTGTTGAAGAAGCAACATTTGCATCTTGTCAAGAATTTTCCGCCAACCTTCTTTTCGAACTACTAATATTATCCTTCTTTCTACCCTTAGTTTGTGAGATATATGGGTTCAACAGTACTGGTACAGAAGAATCAATATTAGTACATGTGTCATCTTTTGTTGAAGAAGCAATGGTTGCATCTTCACAAGAATATTCTGACAGCTTTTTGGATAGTTCATCTATAGCTTCCATGAAAATTGTGTATGCCTCATTTGAAGAAGCTACAGTACAAGCCAACTTAGTTGCTTGATGACACATATGGCTAAGTCTCAAAGCTTCTGATTCTTCTTTATCATCATCTGTCACCAAACTTTTAAAATCTATTATCCTAAATTTGTTTGCTTCTTGCTTCCATCGTGGCAAAATAAAAAGTTCAGGTATTGTATCAACATCCAAGCGGACAAATACTTTCAACAAGTGTCTGCAAAGTATTCCAACAAACTCAAAATTTTGGCATTCACATGTACCTTCATGCGTTTGCACATTTAGCTTCATCACAAACTCTTCTTACTCTCCGAGTTTTGATTTCACTACGTATGCATGATATTCATTGTCACGTGGCATTTCTTCAACTTTGTACCGATTGACTTTACTCCATTCATCCTTGAATTTATTGAATACATTTCTAGTATACAAACTTGCGGCATGTTGCAAAAGAAATTCTCCTTCATTGACAATGCAATACTTGTGTTCTGATTCAAAATCTTTGTCACTTTCTCTTTCCATAATCTTCTTCAGTGCTTGTTCATATTTGACGACAAACTCTCTAAGATTTGTTGTTGGTGTGACAAATCCATCAAAAAAGGAATTAATACCCTCACTACGTCTAGTAGTATTCATTTCTGCAAAAAATATTCTACGATTATAAACAAGAACCCAAGAAGAACGCATCTCATATAAACTTTTTAGCCACTCATCATTCTCCAACCTATCTTCTTTCATCAAGGCCATCCACTTTACTTCAAAATCCCACTCATCATTCTCCAACCCATCTTCTTTCATCAAGGCCATCCACTTTACTTCAAAATCATCGATCTTATATGTCTTCCGAGTACATTTTTTCATCTCAATCTTGAACTTGGCCTTCTTAAAGTACACATGTGATAACTTTTCAGCAAACTTCTTCTTGATATGCCATAGGCATAATCGATGATGAGTGTTTGGAAAAACCTTGGCAATTGCTCCTTTCATTGCCAAGTCTTGTTCAGTAATAATTGTAATCGGATGACGTCCTCCTATTGCTTCAAGCCATGTCTCAAACAACCATAAAAAGGTAACTTTTGTCTCATCTTGTAAATGTGCACATCCAAACTGTATTGACTGCCAATGGTGGTTTACTCCAGTGAATGGTGCAAAAGGCATATCATACTTGTTTGTCCTGTAGGTTGTATCGAATGTAACAACATCACCAAAATAGTGATAAGCCATGCGGGACCGAGCATCCACCCAAAAGAAATTAGTTGCTCTTCTGTTTTCATCACATTGGATTGCATAAAAAAATGAGGATTTTCAGCTTGCTTTTTCTTGAAATAAGTAAGCACTGACTGAGCATCACATCCATCTAGTTGTCTATGTTGGACATTTTTCAAGTGGTTATAGCAATCTCTTTTGTTAAAGCCAATATGTGTGCCACCAAAAATTGAAGAAACTTTTGCACTTGGCAAATTTTCTTCATGAAATGTTTCAGTGAGAACTCTAGCAGCTTTGAGCATAACTTTATTTGACTTCATTTTCATTCTTCTTTCTGGTGTAACTGGTTTGTGGTTGTGAACGTCTTTGAACACTGAAAATTTCCATTTGTTTGACCATCTATCATGTACGATTTGCATACTTGCTTTACACCCACATTTCACTGTAGAACAATTCTTATTCATTTTCTTCATATTCTCAATCTCACATGTTTCCCTATCTTCATTCTCTTCTAAAGTCTCATGTACAGTATTTCTCGAGACATGTTTCCCTTGATGTGCACAAACAAATTGTCTACTTGTTATATCGTCTGAACGACTTCTTGTCTTGGATGAAGATTGAGTTCGAATCCAAAATCCCTCTTGTCGGCCATAATCTTGATAATAGTTTCTAGCCTCTTCCATTGTGTCAAAAAGCATCCCTACATATGGAGTTTTCAAGCCTTTTGAATTCTCATTTGGAATACATGTTTCATCATTCTCGACTTGAACTGTGTCTTGTACCTATTAACGTATATTAATCATGCTTAATGATCCAAGTTAAAAAAAATACATGATAAATGTATGCTTAGTGAACTACGGACATAAACGCTAATTAGAAAAAGCAACTATAAACTTTTATTAAAATAAATACTAAAGGATATTAAATTGAGTACATACTGGAGACATGGAGGGAGAGTTTGATGCAAAATCTGCCACGCTCTCTGCCATTTTGAACAAGAATAGATTAGAAATGAATTGAGTGATGATGAAAAAGAAAAGCTTATTAGGTTTGCATAGGAAGAAGGAGTAACGTAATTAGGGTTTTTGTTCTTGTTCTTCATCGATTATTAGAAATAAATGAGAGAGAGAGAGAGATTTGATTAAAATACTTTCCCCACAAATAGGATTAGATGACAGCAAGAATTCAAATATGGTTATTAGACTATGCCAATCCTATCCTAGATTGCTATAGGTAATTAGGACTCGTATGCGCCGCGCATAGCGCTAGTCTTTACATGATTGTAGTACTAGAGTGTATATCATTGTTACACCCGGTTTGGGATAAAACTTGAACTTTGGGCTAAAAAGGGGGTTAGCCCAAAAAAAGGTCCAGAAGGAGGAAGAGTCCAAGGCCCAGTCGAAGCCCAGAAGAAAGAAATAGCCTTTTTCCCGACTAAGTGCAGATCACTCAAGCCACATGCTCACCTACCTAAAGGTCAAGTGATGTAGACCAGCTAGCTAATCAACCCAAAAGTACTTTATAATGGCAGGACAAGTAAAAAGCTGATGAGTCACTACCCTTCATAGGCATTCGGGCAAGATTGAAGCTACAGACAGCCAAGCCTAACCGTCTATAAAAGGAGAAAGGAAAATCAGAAACAAGGACACTCAATCAAACAAACAAATACACAAACTCTGCTCAAGCCAGATTTGCATACGAAGCTATAGTCAACACCAAGCCCTCATCCTTTTCGGGATCAACCTTCACCAAAAAGCCTTTGTAAAAGCTATGCTACCCTGTCTAAATCTTGCTGTAGTATCGATTCCCTTATGTAAACTCATATTCCAATCTCCCCTTCTAGCACTCAAACCCTTTGTAAATCACAAAGAGAGGAAGTTGCAAGACGATCAGCCTTGCCCGACCTCCTTTGTTTTTATCCTTTCATTCATAAATCTAGTAATATGATGTATATTTCCATATGCATCCAAGTTATTTCTAGCCAGTTTATGATTAAAAGACTTCTAAGTTCTAACCATTCGGGCAAACAAGATTGATCAATTAAAAGTCCTTGGTCTCAAGGCATAAATAGAACCTTATGTGGACTTAACCCATATACGACAGTCCTTGATAACAAGAAGTCTGAAGTTACTTGGGGTGCAAGTAATTAGCCTATTTCTTAGTTTTAATTCTGTTATATCATGATTGCTACAGAATGCTTGAGTATAGAATTAATTCTGATGGGAAGCCTCAAGGCCTATACCTAATGCCCGACAAAGGCACCTATCCGCATTCGTTCTGCTCTGCGGGCTCAGGCGATTAAAGTATAACGATCGTGATATTTCTACAACAATGAAACAACCAATATATGTTCGAGTACTTGATTAGTTTTGATTGGAAACCTCAAGGCCTACACCTAAGGCCCCACAAAGGCACCTTTCATTACTAAACTCGGGCATATTTAATCAAACTAAACATCTGTTTTACATCTGTCATGTTAAAGATGGCATGGCACGCCTGAACACCTAAAGGTTAATTTTGATTGTGAGCTTCAAGGCCTACACCTAAAGCTCCACAAAGGCACCTTTCAGGATTAACTCTGTCCTTCTCTTACAGCCCGCCAATAAGCAGAAGCCCGACATACAATATCAACCGGCACCAAACCTCTCGGGGAGCTGTGTGCTCGTCGGCCAGGAAACGTCCCCACTGGATATTCCTCAAGACGAACACACCCAGTCTTGTTCATGTCAAAATAACTCTGCATGAACTCGTGTGTCAGCATGTGTCGATGAGCACTCGATATGATATGTTTGCTTATGCGAGATAAAGTGATTACTGATGTCATGTATTTATTTACGAATTTTATGACGTATTGTAGTCTTGAGATATTGCAGGCTAGTATTTTAATACTATACGTATTATGTATATTTTAGAAACTATACTTGTTTTACGGTGATGGGTTATAATGTTTTCAAAATATTTTTTATCAAACTTTATTTTAGGCCCTTTCACCCTTATTTTTTGCCCATCCAGGCTTTAGTAGCTAAGCTTTCGTGTCGACAAAGACTCTTGACAAATCTTGATATAGGTGGTTACCTTCGATGGTATAATTCTCATCCTACTTTACTGTACTTTACTTATGCTCTGACATCACGTATGACATGAGTTCATTTCCGCTCACCAACGAACTTTTATATTTAGGCACTTTTAGGTTTAAATTTATTCACGTTTTCCATATCACTACATTTTATGGCTTCATCACCCTCTGAATGTCGGCCAACAAAACTCGATTCGGAGTCCAGATGGACATTCTCGGTCGGGGTGTATCAGTAGTTTTGTACCTGGGAGTTGTCAAACTAAAACCTATATAACACTTTAGTCGTCAATAAAAAAAAATCCAAATATTCAGCATGTCTAATAATTACTAAAAGTCCATCTTAAGTCTTAGAATTCAGTAGCAACCAAATGAAAACCATTTAACGATTCAATAGCCAACAATCGAAATTTTTTAAAATATTCGGTTGCTTTCTGCTGAATATTGGATGTCCATTATGAGCCCCAATGTGTACTTTAGTAAATTAGGAAATATATTAGGCTTTTTTTGTTAGCAACCCACATAAAGTTGAACACACCCCAAATTAAAACTAATATTAAATGGCTTACATACCCTACTATGTAATGACAATTTCGACCATATAAGACTAAAAAAAAAAATCTAAATACACCCTAAATCACTTTTAATATATTATTTATGTTCTTCAATTCTTAAAACTCCTCTCATCCTCCATTGTAGAATAAAACCCTAACCAATGAAAGTACAAAAACGTTGATTTAAGATGAATGGAACTAGGCCTGGCAAATGGGTCGTGTCTGTCGTGTTCGTGTTTTTTTCGTGTAACACCTGTTATCTTAACGGGTCGTGTTGTGTCACACTCGTTATCTTAACGGATCCTTAACAGGTCGGGTCAAAACGATATATTTACTAACACTTAGAGTTTATTTATACTTTCATTAAGTATAACACAAAATTTTGGGATATCCACTAGTGTAAATATTTTAAATTGAAGATCGAATTCATTCATTATATTCATCTAGGGTCAAGGAGTGTAGCTGTAAAAAATCATCAAAATCAAAGTTAAAATAACCGTTAAATTGTGATTTTTTGTTTATAATCGTCTAAAAGTTTTGTCCTATTACTTGATCTCTGAATGTTTGTTTTTTGTAATTTTTGGCATATGCGATCTTGAAGTATATACAAATATGACGGTTGGATCGTGGAAACTAGTTTCGTAGAATGTGTATCCCATCAAAACGATAGATTCACTAACACTTAAGAGTTTATTCATACTTTCATTAAGTATAACATAAGATTTTGTGGTATCTATTAGTGTAAATATTTTAAATTGAAGATAGAATTCATTCATTGTATTCATAGGGTCAATGAGTGTAGCTATAAAAAAATCATCAAAATTGGAGTTAAAATAACCGTTAAATCATGATTTTCGTTGATAACCGTCGGAAAGTTTTGTTTCGTTACTTGATCTCTGAATGTTATTTTTTTTGCCATTTTTTGCTGATGCAATCTCGAAGCATATACAAACAAGTTTGATGGTTGGATCGTTGAAATTAGTTTCGTAGAATGCGTATCCCATCAAAACAATAGATTCACTAACACTTAAGAGTTTATTCATACTTTCATCAAGTATAACATAAGATTTTGTGGTATCCACAAGTGTAAATATTTTAAATTGAAGATCAAATTCATTCATTGTATTCATATAGGGTCAAGGAGTGTAGCTATAGAAAATCATCAAAATCAAAGTTAAAATAACCGTTAAATCGTGATTTTTTGTTTATAATCGTCTAAAAGTTTTGTCCTGTTACTTGATCTCTGAATGTTTATTTTTTGCAAATTTTGGCATATACGATCTTGAAGTATATACAAATATGTTTGACGGTTGGATCATTGAAACTAGTTTTGTAGAATGTGTATCCCATCAAAACAATAGATTCACTAACACTTAAAAGTTTATTCATAC